CTGCCACTCCCGCCTGCCCCGGCAGCCACGCCACAGGCGGCGACGAACCAAGTGCGGCCGTCCACACTGAGATGAGCTGCGCCCATACACACGCCCCGGTTCCAAAGATTCCTGGGGGAACTGTCTCCGCACGTCCTCCTGACGCCACGAGGAGTGCGGCTGCTCTGCGTGCGCTGACGTGACCCGACAGTGGCGGCCACGCGCCCCGCCCGCTCGCCCGACGCCGTCCCAGGGCAGCGAGAACCTCGTCCTCCGCCAGCCGCAGCGACTCCGCAGGGACAAGGCCGTCGTATTGTTTGGTTAGTATGGATCACTGGTGATGAATTAAGCAAAGAAAAAACACCCGCAGGATACACTGGGTGCAGGTCCATTTGCTCCACGGTAAGTACAAATAGTAACAGAAAAAAAGGGGCGGCTCTGACCACGTCCCCATCCGAGAGAGGACACAAGCAGAGACCTGGCCCGCCGGGAGGTCGGCACGAGGGACCCCGCTGGACGGCTGAGGGCGCTGTCTCCTGTCAGCGTATGCACACACACACACACACACACACAGGCACATGTATGCGCACCAGACACATACACACACGTCTGCACACCAGAGACAGCAAGTTTGAAGCAGTAACTAAACGACTATGTGAGATTTTTCTTTAAGCAGCGGGAAAGCGGAGGAGCGTGGGTGTGAGACTAAAGCTAACAGAAGACGGGAGTGAGGCCCAGGTCGGCCGGCTCCAAGGCCGCGCCTCCCCGCTCGCCAGCACTGAGCCCACCCGGAGGGCGGAGGAGGTGCGGAGCCCCTGGGCGTGGACACAGCACAGGATGGGGGGGCAGTGATGGGGACTGATGGGGACCCGAGCAAGGGAGAGCGGGAGGAGCGGAAGGCCAAGCTTTGGACGAGGTCACTCCCTCAGCGACGGCTCTGAAGAGACGGAGGGAAAGAGAAACCAGCTCATCTCGGACCCTCGCACTGGGTCAGGCCGGAAGGGACTACGCTGCCCACGAGTGTCTGAAGCACAGGAGACTGAGCATAAATGTGCCGCGAATAAAGATGCGAAACGTCAGTGAGGTCGGGCAGCGGGGGTAAGGCGGACTCCGCAGCAGGGCTCTGGCTTCTGCCTGAGGCGTCACTGCGCCGGGTGACCTGTCACAGGGAGTCTCTAGGCGTCTCTAGCAAGAGAATGGAAACCGTGGACGCAGTCAGCGAGGCTGGCCCGCAGAGGCAGGCAGGCAGGCAGGCGAGAAAGGAAGGGCCGGGGGCTGGCAGAATTTAGGGTAACACAAAGCAGCAGGACGTCGTGTCCAGAGATACAAGGACGGCCAAGGGACGGAGTCTGGAGTTAACAGCGTAACTGAAGCAGGAGCGAGAGCCGAGTGGGGGCAGCTAGTGCCCGAGGGAGGGGAGAGCGCTGAGACAGCCTCCCGCTCGCTGCGGACCGAGGAAGACGAACCCTGGCCCTGGGGACCCAGCCTGTGCCACCCGGGTGCTGCCCCCACGGTCCGCCGCGCAGACCCGCGGTCCAGGCGCAGTGACTCGCTGGCGGCCCGCAGCCGCCCTTCCTCAGGCCCTGCAGCTTCCCCTGGAGGCAGCCCTCCCCGGGAAGCAGGGCTGGGCGTGTCCCCGCGATGGGCATTTGGTGTGAACTGCCCAGACAAGGTCCATGTACCCTGGCATCACCGTGACAACAGTGCTGGAGGGCATCAGTCTATGGCAGAGCACCTACAACCGCTTCCCACTGAGGCCTGGCCTTGCTCCCTGACGCTCTCTCTTTGCTGAGATTTCTCTCTAATGAGGGCTGCGTTTTCGTTAAGATCTGACAACTTTCATAAGAAGATGTCACTCTTACTCCTAACTCAGGTATCAGCCTAACACTGCTCTACACTGAGCCAGCAGGGTAAGTGTTATATTCAATGGATCCATACAGCTTGAGCCGTAGCAAAGAGCTAAGCTAACTATCTTTTCGTAAAGCAATTAATACAGACAAGGTCCAATGCTACATGATTTTCACTGATCAGCGTCTCTTCACCCATCCCCACTTTTGAGACATGAAAGTCATGTGCCTGGTGCTATGACACAGGATGACGACAGCCAGGATTAATGCCTGTAACTACAATACAGTCCACCTGCCGTCTTCTCTGTATCCTCGGATTAAGGTAGGTGGTCAGAAAGCTGTGTGTTTAGACTGTTGCTCAAGATCCCCAAGAAACAGCATTTATTCCGTTGGGCTGACTTTGTGCCACCGGCCTAGTTCGAGGGCTGTAAGAAGAAACTGCCCTGTGGGGTTTGTTTCCCACACTGCCAGGCAGCTGCCTGAAGACAATTTTCACTGCCGCCTACAGTGTACAGTCTCTGCAGCAAGTGAGTTCCTGGGGTGTTACTAGGACCCAGGCAACCGTGTTGACCGCTGGGAACCTCGGAGCCCACTGTGCGGCTTAGGTTAGGAAGCCTCACCCTCACCTTTGTGTTTATCCTGCCCTCACTTTCCCATGGCCAACTTCCTTGCCTATTTTTAGTTTTGTTTCATTTTATCCTACTGTTCCGGTATTTTTATGCATCTCTGTAAGTCTACTTGGGAACAGGGCACGAGACCAGTCATCTCAGGACACCTTTTAGTTCTACGCTGCCAGCATGGACCTTCCACTCCCGGCATGAACAGTGACGGCAAACATCTCACCTCGGCGCTCAGGTCGCCGCTCCACGGAGCAACATGTGGCCCGCGCAGGCGAGGTCTGCGCTGTGGGAAACAGGCCAGCACAGAGCACTGGGTGACTGCCGTAGGCGATGAAACAGCTCGCGTTCGAAACAGTCACAGAAAGTTGACACATTGTTTCCTGAGCTCTGAGCAGGACTAAGTACGAAAGCCGAGTGAAATTCAGACTCTTACACACACAACCGCTGTTTCCCACTGGCAAAGGGTCACGTACCACCCGGGACGGAACCGCCTCCGACGGGCATCATGGTTTGTGTGCTTGGTGGGTAACGCCCTGCGTGAGGTCTTACATGAGTAACACCCGTGAGAGCGGCTGTGTCTGGCAGACTTAACAGTGTGTGATCCAAAGCATTTTTAAAACTTTAAATCCCTCAGTAGTCTAAATACGATCTGACACTTCGGTTTGCCTTGCCTGTGGTTTGCGTCTGTATGGTGATTACACATGTAGATACAAAATAATTTTAACTGAAGATAAATGATGGTTATGAGATCTAACTGTGCTTGGGAACTCTTCTGTTGGAGCCTGAGGTAGCTGTATTTACCTTTCACAGAGATGAAAAAGCCTTTATCGACACTGCTGAGAAACAGGTAAAAGCTACAATTAGGTTAAAAAGACTGAGTAAAGCATCACGGAGATTTCTCAGTGAGACTGGAAATGCAGTTTACAAGGGAAAAAGATCCTGAAGCTACGTGCCTGCTGGAAACCCAGTAAAGAGAAGGTGAGATCTCTCTTTCGTGACAGACTGGAGAGTCAGTTTCCTGTTCAACATGAAATTCAAGCACGTAAACATCTTTCACTTAATTATAAAATACTGTTTGGGAGAGGAAGGAAAAAGCACAAATGCAGAGAGGGCTCGGAGGCTGCGGTGACAGGTGACAGGTTTCCACAGGGCTGTCAGGGCAGTGTGGTTCCCAAGACCTGGTGGCCCTGCCCACAGTGCCCATCCTGCGGCACCACCTGACTCGGCGGCTCTCAGGTTACTAAAATTAGGCGGCAGCACCAAAAAATGTATTTTTTGCCAGTCTGACCGAAAAGAAATGTATAATTCTGATTCCTTCACACCAGACGGCTAGGGCTGTGCTGGCTGCTGTCATTTTTTTTATTTGACTAAAAGAGGTCAGTGCCCCAACCCAGGAGTCAGCCGCCGCATGTGTTAAAAACTCTTGTGCTCATGGCTGAACATCACTGGCCTGAGTCAATCCCCTTCGAATTCTCCAGCGGGGTGCTTTTTGGTGTAAAAGACACAGGATGCTGCGTAACTTTTTAAATGACTTACTTTCTAGCGCATATTAAAATACTGCATACTTGGTATTTCTATCTTTTGACAGTGGTTGAAAATTTCTTTAAATAAGAAAAACCATGTAAACTACACTTGAAGTTCTGAGGACGTAACTTTCTGGATTTAACTTCAGTGACACTTGATAGGAGAGTTCCCCAAGCACCGTGGCAGAGATCGCTCAGATTACGAAGGTTACACAATGCTGCCTTTTAACGAAGCAGAGTAACACTCGGGGACTGACAACACGGTTATTTCGAGTGAGCACACTGACCGGCAAGCGTCTAAGGCGGTACCTGAGGTGCACTTACATCGTTCAGGAGCTTGGTCGATGTGCTCTGGACAGAGCAGGAAGAAGTGGCTGACGTCCTGGAAGGTGCCGGCCCCCACAGCACACGGGTAATGGTACGTCTGGGCACATTTCTCTTCACAGCATTTGATAGTGGCTCCAAGGTGCTTACAAAATGCACATCGCTGAAGGGGGCAGAAGGGAGAGAAAGTTCTTTACAAAACCTGGTAGAGGAACAGTCAAAGGCAGGGCTAGGGAGGTGTTGAAGACCTTTGTGCGTCACTCGTTAAACTATTTGACTGCAGAACAGCAAATGAAGGACCCGTCAGGAATAAGGAGACCTACGGTATTCGGTTCCGTGCTTGGTACAGCACAGGCTCATCCTTCCATTCACGTTTACAAAGTTAGCATTTCGCTTTTTTCTGCTGACTTTGTAAAAAACGTACAACTGAATTTTTTTTAAACATCAGTAATATCAGTTAAAAAGGCAGGTTCCTAGTTGAGCGTTATTTTAAGCGTTTAAATCCCATCAGTAAAACAGATGCAGAGTATTTATAAAACATCTTACTATCACCTGCCTAAGAACCACATGACCTTAACTAGCCGATCACAGAGTAAGTTCGTGAGGACACCTATGTTAAGGCAACAGATCTACCCCTTTCCCTGCAGCAATTCACTGTAAGTTTCTCAGTAAATGTGGGGGGGTGAAGAAAAATTAGGTCATGAGTATCCCCCCGCCCAACTTCAATCGGCTTCTACTCTCTAGCAAGTGGTGAAAGCTAAGACATAAGCCCCAAAGGCCCAGCAAGGCAGGTCAGAGCCGCTGCATGTGTGAGGTCGGCTGGGACGGCCACACTGAAGGCTGCTGTGCTCAGTGCACCCCCCCAGGAGGCCGGGTCCCGCTGCCCGCCGGCCCACGCCGGAGACCCTTCCCTGGCGGGGCTGGGGGGCCGGCACGTCCAGCCTGCACCCCGCGTGGGAGAGGCCGATGTGCACGCTCCGGAGCTTCTGCGTCAGCGTCTATGCATGTGCACGGCGATGGCTCTGCCTCCTGTTCCGAGGTCCCTGCGCAGAGACGAGGGGCCGCCCCAACTTTGGTTCCGAGCACGCGCGTCGCCCAGAGAAGGGCCCTGCGCCTCTAAGCGGCTCCCGCCCTCTCGGCCCGTCTGTGAGGGGGTCACACAGCGCAGGGGGCCTTTCCCTACAGCCAGGGGGGCTGCTGACGTTACTACGGACACCTTCACAGGCTCCCGCACTGACTCCATGTCTCAACACGTATGTGCCAACCCACGTAAGGCAGCGCATGCCATCAGGCGCGCTCAGCCTGGGGTCCCCGCGTCCGCCAATACGGGAAAGCGCAGCGCCTCCCGGCGGGTCTGCGACACGCTGAGCCCAGCAGGGACCCGGCAGCTTCTCCGTCCCTCGGCAACTCCAGCTGTACCCCTGGCACTTACATTTTATACCACGCCCCACGGTCCATGGACTAACACAGCCCAGTTCTTTATTTGTACTCAAGGGTGCTGGTGCATTAAAAACACAGAGGAGCCCTGGCCTGTTCAGCTCAGCAGTTAGAGCATCGGCCCGCGGACTGAAGGGTGCGGGGTTCAATTCTGGCCAAGGGCACACACCTGGGTCACAGGCCTGATTCCCCAGCCCCGGTTGGGGCACACGCGGGAGGCAACCAATTAATGTGTCTCTCTCACATCGATGTTTCTCCCTCTCTCTCTCTCTCTCCGTCTCCCTTCCACTCTCTCTGAAAAGCAACGGAAAACTATCCTCAGGTTAGGATTAAAAAAAAAAAAAAAACACAGAAGAAAAGAAATAAAGCCTTATTTCTTTTCACTGATAAAGTGTAATAAGCAGCTTTTTCCAAACTGGACATCAATTTTAGTTTACAACCTCCCAAGGAATATAAATATGTTCGGTATATTAACAGGACTCAGAATTAACAACACGTGTAACCAGCCCCCAGGTAGTCTGCGTATCCTGGAGTAAAAATGAAAAGGCCAAGGAAATGCTGAGGGGAGAGAGAGCATTTGTAAGTCCAACCAACCACTGAGAAGTGTTTCTATTAACTCATTAACATGTAACAACTTATGCGAACTTAAAATCTAGAGTCTCTGCTACTTTCATAGCATATGTCGAGTTGCACGGAAGCCTTCTGCACTTCAGATGATTCTGGCAGATAAGATATAATGACTGTTACTTATGTGCATAAGGAAACAAAATAACTTAAATCGATCCTTTCCCCAGTGTCTGTATCATTTTAGAAACATCAATGTGTTCTCTTAATCACATTTGCAACGGAAAATATCATATGACATTAGCTAAACTACTCTGAGAAGTCCTGGAATGTATTCAACATACTAATTTACAATAACATAACATGTACAGATATCAGGGAAGAAGGAGAGGAAATAAAATACAAATTGCATTTAACTGAACGCCCCAAACCCATCTGTGATAGTTACAAAGTAACTGAATGACACTGGCATTGAAAGAAAATATATACTTTATACAGAGGCTGGGATTTATCTTTCTGAACCAAATAAAAAGTATTTGTAAAACTGTACAAAATACCAGAATAAATTTCCACAGGGAACTTCTCTAACATCAGCACTCTCATAAACCACATATTAGAAATCTAACAAATCATAAAGTAACAATTACAAAGCTAATGAACACTGGGAGAAAGGAAGGGACGGTAAACAGCTCTTAAGTGGTTTATCAACTAAACAATTTATTGGAATCAATATTTAAAACTCCTAAATAGCGCTTTTCCCACTTTTTTAATCATTAAAAAAGAGAGGGAGGGGAAGAGAAAACAGAAAAGTATTATAAGATCTTCTGACATGAGTCCGAGAACTCATCCAAGGAAAACTCTCAATGAGCGTGTTGAGTTTCTGAGCGTCGTTTCCATTGCCGGCTGTGAGAAAGAGTCTGAGAAACTTCCTGAACTTCCATCGCTTGATGGACATAAGGAAGAACCTCTCAAAATAAACCTATTAACCCAAAACAGAACCAACAAAACTTCTGTTTAAGGTTCAAGATGAGCTGTGAAACGGTAACAAGAAATCTGAGAATCCTCCAAAGCTCAGCCACTAATCATCAAGTATCTACTCTGTGTCGACTGCAGCAGTGGGTGGGCTAAGGGCTCTAAAGATGTCAATTATCATCAGGTTTTCCACAACCAAACCTTTACCAACGTTTTCTCCTCACGGGTCAGCTGGGATTCTCGCAGGAGGCGGCAATAAAGAATTAAGACAGAGAAGGTAGAATGATGTGGAAAACTGATCCAGGCCTGATGTCTGTTTAACTGAGTGCAAGGAGGAGGGGAAGTGGAAGGATTATAACCAGAGAAATTATTCTAGAAGAAAATATCTAATCCTGAGAGCTAACATTAAGCATAATCCCACTTAACAGACAAAGAAGCTGAAGGACGGCCTTGACCTCTGTTCCACGGATCCTGTGTCACCAGAAAGCACCCACTCGTAGTGTCCGTCTCATGGCCTCCCTAAGCAGAAAAGACTGCTGCAGATTAGAACGTGTCACACCGCCCGGCCGGCGTGGCTCAGCAGCTGCGCATCAACCTAGGATCCAGGAGATCGGGGCTCGATTCCCAGTCAGGGCACAGGCCCGGGTTGCGGGCTAGGCAGCTGATCCATGACTCATTTCTCTCTCTCTCTCTCCCCCTCCTTTCTTCTCTCTGAAATCAATAAAGATGTATTTAAAAAAAATAAAACGTGTCACACCTAGAAACATGCAAAGCTTGAACACGGGTGTAAGAAAAATCCTAGGAGCCTTGCCAAAAAGGAAAATCAGGCATTACTACTCATTGGCAACATTAAATGCAAAAAAAAATAAGGGGGGGGGGCGATATAATACATCCCAAGGTCTATAAAAATTCATTTGAAACTAATTTTAATACCTACTAACATTCACGTCCGTGAATAATGAAGAGCGGGGGTGGGGGAGCACACAGACGCCGTCGGAAAGGAAGACGGGAAGGAGTGTGGACTGGAAAGAACACAGGACCCAAACCGTGACGCCGGGACGGGGGAAGGTAGAGCGCACATTAGGCGACCGCGTTACCGCGTGAGCACCTACACAAGAAACAGCCTTCAAAGTCTGTCCATCCAGGGAATTTCCCCGACGTACAAAAGTAAAACTGAGCAGCCCGGGCTGGTGTGCCCGGGTGGCTGGGCATCGTGCGGACGCCAGAAGGTCGCTGGTCCCATTCCCAGCCGTCAGGGCGCAGGCCGGGGCCGCGGGCAGGAGGCGGCGGATCAGTGACTCTCTCATCACTGATGTTTCTCTCTCTCTCCCTTCCTCTCTCTGAGATCAATAAAAATATATTGAAAATAAGTAAAGATTAGGAACTTAGTAACAATGATAAATGTTAACCTACTGAAACTTTCTTGTGCTCCAAGCACCATCTTCAACTTTCCAACTTTCAAAATATTTCCAGGTTTCCTCAGTCAAAACACGCTGCCAGTAATAGTTAGTTAACTACAGAACACCCATGCCACCGCTTGTAGTGGGGGGTGAGGGTAGAGAAAACACAAGAAATTACAGATTCTAAGGGAGATGATATAAGCAATTTAAAAAAATTTTTAATAGAGTATGACACCACATGTGATTCAGAACTAGTTAAAAGGACAGAAGTAAGTGGTAGAGGCTGATGAGTTTCCTTTGGGCGGGGAAGGAGGGGAGTGCGGGGAAGAGAGGCTTTTGGTAAATAAATGGCCAGACATCTGTAGCAGGCAGTGGTAAACTATTCCCTTGGTAATACTCAAACTATCTACATTTCCAAGATGTTGGTAACACCCCCAGGGCTCTAGAGAGGAAATTAAAAGAGAAACACCATTACCTCTCCTGAAACACAGGTTTATAGTTTTAGCATATTCTTCCAACTAGCAAAAGATAAATAGTGTTCCCTCTGGAAAAACTGAAAAGCAGTCTGGGGTATCCCAGGAAAACTAAACTGCTTGATGAAGAATGCCATTTAACAGCTGCAGAAATTATATTAAGTATATTAACCTGAGAAGAAAAGCAACATTATTAGTTAAACCAGGATTTCTCAACCCAGGCACCAGTGGCATTTTGAGCTAGAGCATTCATTCTTTGTCGTGGGCTCAGGCTGTCCGGTGCGTCTCCGACTTTCGGCGGCAGCCACCAGGCGGCAGCAGCACCTTCCTCTCCGCTCGAGAGAGCGCGCTTGGCGGCCAAGTCCCAGCCAGGGCATGGGCCCGCCGCAGAAAGGACGCCGTGTTCCAGGGGCCCTGCTGGGCGCTAGAGAGAAAATGAACCGAAACAGGTATGGTCCACGCCCTCGCGGTGCCCACAGCCCTAGTCGGGCCGCCACAGAAATAAAGACTCACGCAAACAATGTAAGTTGACAAGTGTTGGTAAGTGAAGTAAAGGAGGACACCTGTCCCATGAGGCTGTGCAGTAAGGATTCCGCTCAGATCTTCATGATTCCAAGACGTGAGCAATCAAGGCTGGGAGAGCGTGTGGCCTCCACCTGACTCCCGTGATCCCGCCCTCAGGCCCGAAGGCCTCTTGATTCCACCAGCTGCCGTTGTGTTTTAAAGGGGGAGGCAGGGGATCCTCACAAAAATAAGGCGATCTAAACAGCGGTGCTGCTTCATTCTCATGACCATTTTTCAATCCCAACCAAAATTACAGAAATTTAGCTAGTAAACTTTTACCTTCTGTGATTAGAAAATACTTTTCTTTTTAACAAATGGGTTTAAAACATACCAAAGCTCGGCCCGGCCGGCGTGGCTCGGAGGCTGAGCACCACCCCACGATCCAGGAGGTCACAGTTCGATTCCCCTCAGGGCCCAGGCCCGGGTTTGGGGCTCGATCCCCAGCAGGGGGCCTGCAGGAGGCAGCCCATCAATGACTCTCATCATTGATGTTTCTCTCTCTTCCTCTCAGAAATCAATAAAGATATATAAAAAAACAAAAACACTTTCAAGTATTTTAAACAGATCAGGAAATTCCATGTCCAAGATTTTTTGGTGACAAATGTGAGAATATTTTTTCCATTGTTTGTTTTTACAAATTTGCTTTGTTTCTGGCAATAAAATGTCAATAGACAGAGTCCAAATATTCATTTTTTAAATACTCAACCCCAGCGCACTTATTTGAAATCGCACGGAGTTCTCACTGTTGATTTCACATTTACCCCGAGGCGGCAGATGAAGTGTCACGATACACATACAGCCATGTGTCGTCATAATGAAAGTCAATAAATTTAGAACATCTGTCTTTTGGTAAAATAAAAACGCACTCTAAGTTCAACAGCACTTGTACAGACTCCTCCCCAGGGAGCCTGAGATATTAAAGATTTTCATTGTCACCAACCTCTCACCCCCCACCATCACTTATGTAGAATTGTAAAAACTGTTTCAGGTATTTTCTGGGGGACAATTATAAATTTATAAACCTGTGTAACATGAACCACACTGGTGACCCCCTTTAATACTCCGGACTCTGGACTTCTGACTAACTATGAATGAATGATTCTGTGAACAATCTTTAGTGCTGGTCATTTAGGCTGCGAATGTTTCTTGAGGAACCAAAACAGAAAAAGATCCTGCCAGAACGGCACTATCATTCCAGCGAGAGAGGAAGCGGGCTGCTAAGAAAATACCACGGCAGACGGCAGTGCGCGGGAGCAACAACAGGGCAGGTCTTCCGGGGGGCACCTGAAACTTCCCAGAGGAACCCAGGGAGGTCCTCGCGGATGAGGCGCGAATGACCGCCTACAGGAAGCGAGGAGCCGCCGCCCGTGGCTAAGAAGAATATTCGACAGAAAGAACAGGAAGTGCAAAGGCCCTGAGGTGGGCAGACGTCAGAGTATCTGAGGGAGACGAGACAAGCGTGGCTGAGGGGAGCAGGTGAGGGGACCAGTGCTGCTGTCGTCTCAGTACTGGGGGGATGGCAGAGCCCGGTCGGTTAGTCAGGACTAGCTCTCACCCGCGGAACCAAACGGGAGTCACTGAAGGATGCTGGGTAGAGGAGCCCGTGACTGATGCGCACCACTTCTTTATTTCTATTGGTCTGGACTGGTGTGTGCGGATTCGGCCGAGAGCCGTTCCTGGCCGCGTTTTCCCAGCTGCACCACATGCCACTGTGTGAACCGAACCATAGTTCATTCAACCATCCTGTGTGTGGCCATTTAGGTTGTTTCCAATATTGTGCAAACTAAACAATGCTCCAACTACCCACTTGTAACAGCGTGAGTGTTCCACATTATTGCTGGCGTGCTTTCAGTACAGTCCTAGAAAGGTCACAAGCAAGCCTCTATGTGACTACAGGAGACGTTATAAATGTGTGCAGATGTGTTTCCCCACTTACTTCTGTGCTCCCTGAGACAACAGCTCTGTCCACGTTTGCGGGTAATGCTTCTTCCACGTGGCACACGCCCAGCGACCACTCCACACAGCGGCGATGCGCCCAACAGGTGCCTGGGAGCATTACAGGAAAAGAGCAAAGGAGTGTCGTTAGCCACAGCAACACTGACAGGGAGAGACGTAAAACTCCCAAACCCACTCTAAGGTGTAAATCGCACACTGGAGCTAAAGCGGCCCTTCCCGAGACGTGGTCTCATACCACCTGGGAACTTCTCAGAAACACAAAATCCAGACCATGACCAAGACCCACTGAACAAAGACTTGTGCAGAGGTGCACGAATGTTCCAACAAGCCCTCTAGGTGATTCTGACACAAAGACTGAGAGTCACTGAATTAGGAACTATCTCTCCAACAACAAAAATCAGTTCGTTGCTGTAAGATACCTGGAATCTGACACATAAAATATGAAGGACGTTATTTAATACTCTGTTTATGACAAGAGGATGTATAAGAGTTTAAGGTGCAATATACACCTCAATTCTGCTCCATCCCACACAAGAGCCCACATCAATCATTAATAACAGAGATGAACCAACGAACTTATATGCGTATATGCATAACCCATGGACACCGACAAGAGAGCAGAGGTGGCCTGGGGGGAGGCCTCAGGGATGAGAGGGGGGAGAATGGGGGACATATGTAATACTGTCAACAATAAAAATAAATTTAAAAAGTAGTAATAGTAACAGCCTAGTTGTTAAACCCTCTATCACAGAGCACACGAACCACTATCAATATGCAGCTCAACTGTGGAATGACACTGACTTGAAACCCCAGCAGCACCATGAGTCTGGGCTACTATTCTGCCATAAGGGGATACCCTGCCCACATGCCCTTCACCCCTACAGTAAACAGACTCAAGCTGCCATGTTCCCCAAGTTCTCACAGATCCCTTTAAAATTTCCTCTGTCCCCAACTGTCAGATCACCATGGCATTGCTATTACACAGAAGCAAATGCAAATAGTTATCAAAGTGTCCAGCCCGGTGTTAGCCCTATGCAGATGCTAAATAAATCAGCTCAACAGAATCAGACAACTTATTCTACCTGAGCGGGCATACTTAACAATGGCATCCGTACCATGTGACCATAATCACTTCTAGATGGAAGGTATTTCCTACGAAGCTGGTAATTCACTAAAACTGAGATGCTTACAGAATCAAGAGGTGTTGTGACTGGACACTGGCTCATACCTGCGGGATCAAATAGGGCCTGGACATCGACGGCGTCGGGAAGGCCGACCAGGCTGAGCTCGTCCCACAGCTGGCCAGCCTGGTCGTCGGAGGCGGTCTGCGTGCTCACACTCACACAGGACACTGCGTTCTGCTGAGGAGACCGTTCTCTGGGGGAGAGAAAATCCATGTGAAGTGATAACAACAGAAAAGGTTTCGTTTTACAACTTAAGTGTCCGTATTGCCAGATCGCTTTTGTTGGGCATAAACTGTCATAAAGTAACTTCTAGAACACACCTGTTATTATTCAATCTACACTGTAAGACTGGGTTGCTACATTGTATTGTGTAAGCAGCAACTAAAAAAGCCTTCAGAAACAGTAAAAGGTGTAAAAATTTAGTTACAAATTTATTTTGCGATTGTATCATTATATTTTTCTAATTGGCGCTCTAACTTTCTAATGGGGTGCCACGTTTTATCACATAAAATGGATATTCTCTTTGGCCTTACTTAAAGACTTATAAAACCTAACTCGATCAAATCAGGAACTTTAATTTGCTAAAGCACCACCTCGGAGGCGGGGTTCAGTTTATGCGCAGAAAGGCNTTTATGCGCAGTTTCCGGGGGAAGTGAGAGCCACTAGGTGTGGAGCGGGAGGCGGGGGAGCGGAGGGCCCCTCAGAAACCTCGACAGCGGGTCTGGGGCAGGACGCGGCAGGTACCCTCCACCAAGACCGCACCTCTCAAGTCAGAGGCAAAAAAGAAAAATCGAAACAGCCGCCCGCGGGCTGGGGGCAAGGAAGACAGTGTGAGAGCAGAAGCGACAGCACACAAATGACCCGAGTAAGGCAGACAACAGTGGGAGGTTACAGGCTCAAGGCCCTTAGACCCCAGGTATGAACGGAGAGCTACGTCAACGACGGCTTCAGCCCCTCCTGACATCAGGGCGGTGAACCTGCGAAACTCCGATTACATCGCTACGAGTGTGGACCACAACTCACTGCACTCTGTCTGTTGGGGATCTATCCTGATTCCTACCAAGAGAAAATCAGCACACTGACCGGGGCACTACGCTTTTCATACCTGGAATCGCTGAAAGAAGAAAAGCATTAACATATTTCAACAAGCACATTTAAACATCAAACCATATAAAGAGTAACCAGCATGTTTTAGGTTCAGCACAAGAAATGCATAGACGTAACTTTTTTTGGAAAGTTGAGCATGCTGAGCTATCTTTAAATTCTCGTTTTTATGAATGTCCACAGTAAAATGAGAACAAACTCTGTCCTAGGCACATCTCCATTCCTGCAAACATGGTCTTCATTATTAATCATAACTAGTTTATTGGGAGTGGGGAAAAGACTAACGTAACAGTCCATCTATAAAGACTAATGTGCCGTCTGAACAGATTTCCTTTGAACCGGCATTTTATGGGGGCGGGTCTACGCCCAACGGAAGGGCCAACCAGACTATCACTAACCAGTTCCTAACAGCAGCTCAATCAAACCCCCCCATCAGGTTTTGTGACCAGTTTGTAGGACACACATCAGTACGGTGTGTCAGCCCTAAGGATGACAGCAGCCCCCTTAGAAACAACATCAAGGGAAGCCAGCGGAAATGCATAGCCCCCAAATTTTAAGTCTAAACAAAAGGAAAGAAGAAATAAATCCTTAATTACATATCTTACATTCAGCAAATTGAGAACTATTTAAAAACCTCCTTTAAAAATTAAAATACACACACACACACACACACACAAAAGCCCCCAAAACTAGCTGTTTATCTGGTTTATAGCCCATTAGTAAAATACTCTGTAAATATTTAAAATCATTACAAGCTAAATTAATTGTTTACCCCTAAATGATTTCCAACTTTTATAAATGTGCTTTACTCCTAAGGCCCATTTAACTGGCTTGTTAGCGTTACTTAATAACTTGGTAAACACCGAGTGTGTATAAAGACCTTCATTAAGCCAAGGCTATTTTTACATAATTATCATCTCAGCTCATAAAGGTTTGCACTAAAAATTAACTTAGATTATAAAATAAGTAAGTTACTGAAGCCCAACTGTATTTCCCAGAACAGGCGCTGAAATAATCGCTGTTTAAACCAGAACATGAAGATGGAAGACGTAGCCGAGTCCCGCCCATAAATTTGCATTATCGATGAACGTGGTAATTGGGGGACGGGCATAAACCAACAGAATAGCTAACCAGTCTCCTACTAACCAATCTACTACTGACCAGTTCCTAACCAGTGGCTCAGCCGGTTTGTACGCAGGCACCACATCAATAAGGTGCTGACGTCAACCCTAAGGGTGACAGCAGCCCCCCTTGGGGCGAGACCGCTCATTTCATCTCAAAGGTAAAGCTCGTGTGTACGATTAAAACAGCCAGGCTCCGAGCACAGGCCCTCTACACTTCCTTAAACGGGTCCACCTTAAATTCTGTCAAAAGGTCCCCTCCCGTGATTGCTTCATTTCCTACTTCAGGTCTTCAAGGCCCTGGCAGGCGTCCAGGAGAAGGGGCCAATCACCGAGTACAACGCAGCAACAAAGCCTCAGAGCCTGCTCTGGAGGAGAGCCACGCCGGCTCTCGGTTACATCACCACCCTCCGGGGCAGGGGGGCCTTTCAAGCTAAACTAATTTTACACTTTCTCGGGGACTCGGGAAATTCTGTTCCCTCAACTCCCAGCGCCAGGGCTGCAGACTGAGGTGGCCTTTAATCAAACTGCAGCATGGAAAGAGATTTTTAACTCAAGGTTCTTAACTCAAAACGTATCAGACAGGAGCTGGGGGTACTATACTGCCCATGAATATAAACACTCTCACAAATGTCTTAGTAAATTCGTTTCATTAAAAAAAGAGCTGCTTCCTTAACTTCAGAGACGGCGCTCTCGGCGCATAATTACTACTTGGAGCGAAAGCAGGTCCACGCTGTCTGTGATAAGAGTCCACAAGGCACTCAGCATCCTGAACCACGCAGACACGTCAGCAAGTGGCAGTGAGACACGGGTGTCGCTGTTCTCCTGTTACATATTCTTACAAACCATGAAAAACTTACTCAGAGGAAGGAAAGACTTCATTAACCTTTGTCATCTTCTCTCCACTTACGGTATGTTCTTAAAAGTTCTCTCCCACAAGTTAGCTTACAGGTAAGATAGCAAACTTTTCAAAAGAATGAAATTTGGAAAAAAGGAGTGTTTGTTGGGTTAGTGGTGAGTCAAGAGCGCCCTGTGAATGCTGAAAACACGAGAAACTGTTCGGTAAGGACACAGGCTATACAGCCACAAACACCGCGGGGAAGGTAAGCGACAGTCTCACTGCGCCCCAGCCGGTTAAATTAAAATTGCTTACTTCCTCTGTCCTCTCTGTTTTCGTGGTGCCGAGTTTTGAATCTTCTCGCAGGTCCCATTGCTGTTGTCATCAGGGTCCTTCCTGCAGGGAGGCTGGTTTTTCCACGGCAAGATAAATCCGGGCGTCACTCTGAACTGCTTTAAGTCTCCTTGTCCTAAGGAACTTTTTTCACCACAGTAACAAAAAGCACAGAGCTGTTCACTGGTAGAGATGAAAGTAAGGGAGACAGAGAAAGTAATTTTATTTAACTTTTTAAAGTGACAACTAAAGACACCTGTGCTTTAAAATTAAACATTGTGTTTTTAGTGTGAGGCGTATTTAAAAACGTTGATAACAATTATACATTTGCAATTCTACTTTTCCACAGCATGGCTTTAAGATAGTAAACATACCCATTCAAAAAAATTGTAGCTTGTACTTAGAAACACCATTTTCTTTTAAATCTGATTCAAGAAACTCAAAGTATTAACCAGAATGAAGAGAGGAAAGCCAAGA